TCAAACCGACGATGGCGAACGCGTCGCACGCTGACCATTTCGCGCAGCCACTTTCTACATGTTCTCCGCGACGCCAAATGAGGCGCCGACCCCTTCGCAATGCAAAATTCCTCACAGCCCCGGAGCCCGAGGATTAGGGTGGCCGAGGATAGGCCCGAGTCCCCCGTGTCCCGTCCCGAGAGCCCGGCAAAACCGGCCGTCATGCACCCTCCGCACCAGGTGGAGCCCAGAGTTCCTACTTCTCTCGGCGATTCAGGCTACCATGGTAGCCAGTCCCAAGATACAATGCCCTTTGATCACTTTGACAAGGACATCGAGATGTCGGACAGTCCTCAGCGAGATCTCCGAACTTCCGATCCTGTGTTCCCGCCCACCAGCGAACCCGCGGAGCCTGAAAGCCCATCCACTGCCCCTACTAGTCAGGCATTCCAACCAGCAGACAACGACCAAGAGATGGAGGTGGCTGGGGGCCTCACAAGAAATGTCGCCCCGACCCCTTCATCGGCCGACGTACAACCAAGCAGCCCATTTGCGAGCCGGACACGGTTACCTATTATGTCTCCCAGGTCGCCCTCCCCTCAGAAGATATCGTCTCCGCCCAGACAAACAACGCAAAAACTATCTTCGCCCCAAAAACCCCCTTCCCCTCAAAAGTCATCTTCGCCACAAAGGCGAAGTGCCAACTCACAAACGGGGTTTTCCAAGGCTTCCGAGGACCTCGTGGATGCCGTTGATGATGAGCATGATGAGGACGACGACGTTGGGTCACCATCCGATGCGTCGAGCCCGGTCAGGCCTGTCGTGCGTAAGAGTAGTCTCAACTTTGCGTCCTTGCCCGCTCGCGAGCCGCTGGCTTCCAAGAAGAGTCTCGGCGGGGCTCGCATCTCAAGGACAAGTCATCTTGATTTCAACCGGCAAAGCTACTACAACCGCCAGACAGGGGACAAGAGTTTGGGCAACGTGATGCGGCAGGGGAGCTCGGAAAGCGACCATGACGAAATGGATGTTGATGATGACATGACAACCCAGAACGACGATGCGGCGTCGTACAGCAAGACGTACACGCAGCGCCTGCAGGAACAGACAGAGTCAGACATGCTTGGGAAGGGCCAGTCAATGGGTGCTAGGCCTTCCTTAAGGAGTCCCTGGCCAATCTTGTTCGCCCACTCAACAGAGTGGGTCGACTTCACAAACACAGTCCCAAACCGAGCCAGTCTCGGAGGCGAGGAAGTCATCTCCGAAGCCAAAACATTCAGGCTCGACTCCCGGCGCGTTCCCTCAGGATGACGACGACGATTGGATTGCTTCGCCTCGGACCGTTGCGACACCTGCTGGTTCCAAGCCCGCGCTGCCGAGTACCGAGCCTATGGAGGAAGAGTTGTTTGGCCAAGGAACCGAAGCAAGCCCCGAGCTCGGGTTTCCAAAGGGCAAGCGAGATTCGGCAGGCAGAAGCCCTTACATGCGGGAACGGACACCAAAACACGCCAAGTCCGCTTCTGTCCCGGAGCTCCCCACCATGGATCAGCTCGACTCAGAAATGGAGGGCAGCCCGTTGAAGAAAACCACCTCAATCTCGAACCTGGCGCTTGCCAGCGTAGCCGAGGATGACTTTGCCTCGTCGCCCCCCGAAATCTCCCACCAGAGCATTCAGGGATAGCCCGCTGAAGCAGGTTAAGAACAAGCTGTCGTCGCTTCTGAAGAGTTCCAAGGGTTTGATGGCAAGCAGTGCCGCAATCAGCGCCGAGGGCAAGTCATCATTGCTCCAGTCCCCCTCCACAGCGAGGCTCGGCTACCACCAGGAAACCTCTGTCGAGTCCTTTAAGACCGCGGACAATGTCGTGTATCCCGATTTGTCACAGCAGGTCTCCGCCACTTCTGCCCCTCTTAGTCCCGTACGGAGCAATAGCTCGCGGAGAACAAGGGCCTCCGCCGAGAGGGAGAGGTCAGAAGCCAAGGAGCGAGAAAAGGAAGAGCGGGAACGGGAGAGGGAGAAGGAGAAGGAAGTGAAGGAGGCGAAGCGGATGGCCGAGCAAATGGATAAGCTTGAAAAGGCCCGAGAAAAGGAAAGGGAGAAGGCTCGGGTCTTTAGCAAGGAACAGGAGAAGATCGCCGCTATGGAGAAGCAGGTGACTTCTCAGAAGGAGCCGGCGCGACCCGCGCAACCCCAGCCGCAGCAACAAGACTTCCGGACTCCGGGGCCGGCCCCCAAGAACGCTCCCCGAAGCCCAACGAAAGCAGTTAGGGCCACTCCGCTGAAGACAAAGGGCCCGTCTGAACAGGAGGGAAGACACAGAACGGCCCCCTCGGATGACCTGGACATGGAGATGACAGATACCATGACCACAACCGTACCCCCGCCGTCCATCCCCCGCCCGACCACAGCCTCTTCCATGAGGACCCAGAAGAGGCCTATGAAGCCGACAAAGGAGACCGTGGCCAAAGCCAAACAAGTACCCACCTTGATTCGGGTGAATCCTCTCAGCTCCCAGCAAACGCAATTCCACCCCTCGAACAGCGTCCTCGCTGCGAACCTCCAAGATACACTGGGCCACCAACAGCCCGGTTCTGCGAAACAGCTCAACGGCAAGGCTAGCCAGGCCTCGCTTCATGGCAAGGGGTCAGTCCACAGCCTCAAGAGCTCTATTTCTTCCTCGGGCCGGCCCAAGGCATTGGAACTGGCAGCCAAGCGAAAAGAGCAAGAGGAGCGTGAGGCTCAACGCAAACGCGAAACTAAGCTCAAGATGGAGCGCAAGCGGGCTGCCCAGGAGGAGGAGCGCAGGCAGGAACATCAACGAAGGGCTGAAGCAGAGCGTCAGAAAGAGGAAGAGAGGGAAGCGGCTCAGAAGAGGGCCGCCATTGAGAGAGCCAAGCTAACCAAGGCACCTCCTCCGGCTGCTAGGTCGCAGCCGAACGGTCCTCCGGAATACAGCATGGCCGACAAGGGCACCCTCAGGCCCCCCTCGCGACTGGGTTCCACGATGCATCAGGAAGGCCGTCTTGTGAACACGGTTCTGTCGAGCACCGCCAAGGGACCCTCGAAGCGGCCGTTGCAGGACGCAGGCGAGGAGAGCTCCAGGTCTCAACAATTGCCTGTGCCATCGTACCAGGCCAAGGAGGCGAAGCGGATGCGCATGAGCGAGGAGTTTGATGAGGACCTCGACATGATGGACAGCCACAACCCACGGATCATTAAGGGCCCACCCGTGAGGCCTTCGGCAGGGTTTAAGAAGGTAAGCCGCCGCCCCAAAACTCAAAACGTCCCGCAACAACTGCTAACCGTGTCCATCAGGATCTGCAGCCCAAGTCCATGTACAGCAACGGCTACCCCCATGCGCCCCCACCGAGCGCCACCAAGGACCTCTTCAAGGCCACCGTCACGGCCCAACACAACAGCCACGCCAAGGCGACGCACCCGCTCGACATGGCGCAGATCTCCAAGAGCGCGATCCCGTTTGCGCAGAACCCCAACGCCCACCACCACAAGACGCCCGGGCGCCCCGTCGGCGGCGCCATCCCGAAGTCCGCCAAGTCGGTCGCGCGCTCATCGCCGCGCGCCCCCAACGGCGAGGCGATCGAGCTGCCCGACATCCAGACGGACGACGACAGCGACGAGGACGACGCGCACGGGCCCATCGCCGACTGGGCCAACTCGCCGGCGCTGCACAAGGCGCTGATCCGGCAGGAGCAGATGGATCCCATGAAGGTGTTTGGCGCACCCGGGCCGCTCAACATGGAGGAGGTGTTCAGCCGCAACAAGGACCGGTTCCACAAGTTCCGTGCGCGCACGAGCAGTGCTAACTGGAGCGGGACGGATAGGCTGACGGAGGAGGAGGTGAGGAAGGATGCGATGGCCAGGGATAAGATGCGGAGGGAGGGCGGGTGGAGTTATGAGTTGGGGAGGGATTTGTCTTGATCTTGATTGATGCGGGGGGTTGGGTCTGGTTTGAGGGTTGAGTTGAGGGTTGGGGAGTGGTGGTTTATCTTTATTCTTGAGACGTTTCGATGTGTATTCTTTTCGGTTGTGGCTTTTAGGGGGGTTGTTGAGCTTTTCCTTGCTTGACCTTGGGTGTGTGTTGGAGTACTATGATTGGGTTGGGAGTGTGGTCAGTCATTGTGGAAACGATAGACTTGGGGGGTTGGTTCATAGTGGGTTTTTATCATGGGCGATTATTGCAGGGCTTGGAATTAGGGGAGATGATTAGCATTTTCAGCTGGTAGATGGATGGGCGGGTGGGTTCATTGCGAATTGAAGGCTGGGGATTGATCATTCTACTTCGCGGTTGAAATTCTGACGTTGCTGAGTGAGTGAGACAAATGTCTTGGGAGTTCGTGTTGCAACGACGGGGTAACCCCGAGGTTCCATGTGTTGGCACAGCGTGCTTCCTCTCCCTCGGCGGGTTCCGAGAGACTTGAGTGGCTGGATACCGTCTGTTGGCCGAGGTATTTGAGTGCAGCTGGATCATACGACATGGTGACTGATACAGGCACGCCAACTATTCACTCTCTGGCCAAAGAAAGCCGAACTCCAAGTGTAGGTGCTGCCAAAACCTTCGACGGGAAAAACGAAAGGAAAGTTATTCGGAACCCCGAAGTCTGCTTTTATTTTACTCGGTTTTCTTTGCTTTTTCTTCTTCTTTTTTCCTTCGTTGCTTTTACCCCCTCTCTTTTCTCGACACCTTTGACCTTTGACTTTTCTCTTTTCTTCAATCATTTTTTGGCCGGAGGGTGCCAAGGTTGTGTAACCTCACCGACGGGACCCAAGGGATTCGTAACGTAAAGGATGTCCGATTCCTTCGGCTTCCATGTCACTTGCTCTCACCGCCTCATCGGAAATCAGTCCAGTGACTTTGAGGTGGCTAAGAGTCACTACCAGTGGGGGTGGGGGGTAGAGCTTGACTGAGGAAGGCGAGGGAAATGTGGGAAACGTGATCCGTCATCTGCTCCTTTGGCTTCTGAATTTATCATGTGCAGGTGACGGGTTTGAGGGAAATGTACATGTTGGTATGTACCAGGCAGTCAAGCCAAACCGTACGTCATATTGCCAGACTGCCCAGAACCTCAAGGGTCTTGGTGGGGCCACTAACTTCCATTCGATGAGCCCTCGAGTTGCCCATGACAGCTGAGCTGGACCCCACACTTGTTTGTTCGCTTTTGAGCCCTTTGGCATCTCTTTCCCACACCCTTTTAACGACGGATTCCTTGACATCGAAATCGGTCAATCGACAGGTTCTGCTTGGTTTAATTTTTGTTGGTAAGTTACAGCCTCGTGCTCTTGATTCAAGCAGGCCAGTTTGGACATCAGTCGCCTTGCAGGTGCCTTCTGCCTGTTGCATGTAGCTGGCTGTGCCTCCCTGCTGGCGGCCGCGAGCCGGCTTGTGTTGTCACTGGGTCCCGGCGCAAGCAACTGCAAAGCAAATGCTGTGCCGGAATTGCCCTGCAGAAACAACCTGCACGTTCACAACTTGGAACCTCGTGCAACCTTTTGCTAACATCATCACCAACACCCCCAGTCTTTGGTCCGCCGTTTACAATTTCTGCCTTTCCCTCCCATAGATCGGTCGCTTGATTCGATAGACCCTTCCCACAACACAAAACCCAGTTGCTTTATTAACTCGACCTTTGCGCCGGTTGGTTTGCCCCGCAATCCTATTTCTTGTCCCAACGAAGGTCTGTGTTTGCTGACCGGTTTGTGCCCGACCTAGCCCTTCCGCGACGACTACGACGACAGCGACGATAACGACGATAACACGAGAAACCCTCAACCCACTACCATACTGGCTACTACTCTAGAGGTTCCCCGCGCTTGTTAGCTTGGCTCTCAGTTTAGGTGCTCCGCTCTAGCTTTGGAGCTAGGACACTCGGCCCCGACCCCAACCAACAAGGCGGACCGCAGGCTTCCCTCCCTTCGCTCGTCCGATCTCTTTCTCGCTCCCAAGGCTCCGCAACACCGATCATATAGAAACCAGCAACTGATGAATCTATCCATCCTACCCTCGCAACCGCTCTCTTTTCTTGCTTCTCCATCTGTTTTGACCTCGCTGTGGAGTCAAGATGGTCAAGCTAGACTACGACCGGGATTACTATGCAGACCTCGAGCTGACCGCGGCGGCGGACACTGCTGAGGTCAAGAAACAATTCAAAAAACTAGGTGAGTTAAACTGCAGACGCGTGACGCCTTGTAGCTGACACCCGTACCAGCGCTCAAATTCCACCCTGACCGCAACCCCGGCAAGGAGGACGAGGCCAAGGAGAAGTTCCTAGTTATTCAGTCCGCCCACGAGATCCTCACAGACCCAGCCACCAAACTAAAATTCGATGCCTACCGACAGCGGACGTCGAGGTACCCGGGGCCGTCCGGAGTCCGGGGCAACCCTTGGCAGTACGCTGCGCACGAGGTTAACCAGAAGTACGGCGCTCCCCCAAGACGGCCTCAGATGCCAACGCGGCCGCCCGCGCCGACAGCAGCGGCGTCGGCAAAACCCTGGGATTGGGCGCATAAAGCAAAATCCAAGACGGACACTACGAGGCCGAATATGGAAGCGTGGGACCGCGCGAGACCGCAGAGCAAACCGACCCAGCCCGGCCCTACAGCAGCTCCCGGGCCCAGCGCACGCCCGCCCAAGCCGCCTCCAAGGGAGCCATCCGCTGCACGGACGGCGTCGCAAGCCAGGCGCCAAGAGGCGGCATTCGGGAGAAAGGCGGGATATGTCCCGGGATCGCCCATGGGGGACGAACCGCCGGTCAGGAACCAGCACTACAACAGCGCCAGCGCGAATGCTCCCCAGGCGAGCAAACCCCGGCCAGCATCTGCCTATGTCGATCCACTGAGTTCCCAGTTTGGCGACACATTCCTCGACAATCGCCAGCGCACGCCGTACGCCGCTAATGTCGGCGAGAAGACCAACCCGTTCGAACCGCTCAATGTTAACCGCGCTAAGAGCATGAGGGATGGGGCAAGGAGGTTCCAAGACGGCGCCGAAGACGCCCCCCCGCCCCCGCCTCCTCGGCAGCGGAGCGCGAGCACGGGCTCGGAAAACCTTAAGAGGGCGGCCACCGAGAACCCAAGCCCCAGCGAGCAGAGCGCCAACCCCGGGTTCCAATACCAGTCTCGCGCAAGCGCCCGGTACAGTCCTCAGGTCCCAGGGATGAACTCGGCTCCCCCCACGGCCACCTTCCCAGGGCCGAATAGCTCCACCTCGTCCGTTAACAGCAGCGCGAACGGTAAGTCTCACCGCCAGTGCCTGCACATTTGGGGTTTTTGCTAACAGGCCGCGCAGCGACGGTGAACGGTTATGGCTCGGATCAGCAATCAAGGAATGGCACCAAAGTGTATGGCTCTCCTTTTTTTACCAACCCCCTCAACCTCAATACGATGCGTTCCGCCGGATTAAATCCCAAAACATCGCACTCGAGTGGCCGTGCTGGTGTGGGTTCGGCACCCCTGAACATGTTCGACTTCCCAGCCTACAGGGTTGCAAGCACCGTTCGTCCATCTCCCAGTGGAGAGGGACCAAGTCCTACCGCCAATGCTTTTGAGAGGACATTGCAAGCGCAGCTACAACATCTTCTACGCACGACGGGGATGCCGGCCCAGACTACAATGCCACCAAAGAGGAGAGAGTTCACTAGCAATCGGTATACTAAAGGCGTCTACCACAATAGTTTCACAGTCCCTAACGATGATCCGAACGCCGCGGCTAACCACACCCGCTTCAACCGAAACAGCGCCGATAATATCAACACGCGGTTTGTAGCGGAGGAGAAGGGAGGTCCTAACTTTCAGTTCAGCGCGGGCGCGGCAGGGTCGGCAGACGATGGTTTCACCCGGGCGAAACAGCGCGCTCGGGCCGGGCAACAATCCCCGTTGAGGAACGAGTTCACTGCGTCGGCCGAAGCCGTCAATAATGGTGCCCAACAGGCCGAGCCCGCCAAGAAGCAGGGCGACTTTGTACCCGAGGAATGGAAGGAGGCGTTCGGTCCTCATGTTTTTGTGCCTCCGCAGCCTGGCAAACCATCGACTTCACCCACGCGACCCCTACGGCCGATTAAGAAACCACGGCCGGTCCGGATGACGGCGGGTACAGCGGGGATGGTGGACGAGGAGGAGACCAGCGGGGAGGACAAGGGCAAAGGGGCAAGCACACCATCCTCTGGGATTAACGGCAACAAGAGTCCAAATGCCATGGACATCGACACTCCGCCTCCCGAGCCCGCGGACGGGCAAGCCAACATCCCCCGGAATATCCACGTCGAGCCCACAAAACCCGAGTGGCGGCCAGGCAACGGTGCCACCGCCGAGCCCAAACCCAACACAGGGCTCAAGGCCCCCAAACTCACCCCGACTTCAGCCGGCTCCGAAGACGCCGAAGACTTCGGCCGCCCCGTGTTCTCTGAATTCCGAAACGTCGAACCCTTCGCTCCGCCGAAGCCCTCCGGTCTAGGCTCCTTCGCAGATCTCGGCTCCAACCTGCCATTCCCGAGCCGGCCCTCGGCCAAGATCCCGCTCGCCACCCCATCTTTGCACCCACACCAGCAGCCCCGAGAAGCCCCCGGCCAAGCATCTCGACATCCCCACCCCGCCGTCGGCCCCCCGAGCCCCGCAGAGCCTCTGCATCCCGGGCGCCAAGGTCGCCGCGCCGGCCTGGCTGACGTACGTCCACGAGTTCGAGGCCTACATGGGGCTGTGGTTCGAGTTCAACCGCCGCGTCACCGACCACTTCGCCGCGCGGCAGCGCCAGAACGAAGGGAACGGCCTCGCCTGGCTGAATACCGTGGGCGATGGCGGGGTCAGCGAGTACCTGAAGGCTGTCGAGGTGGATAAATATGTGCGGCAGAAGTGGATGGCGGCGTGCGAGGCGCATGAGCTGCACTTTAGGGAGTTTTTGGGGGTGCGGGAGAGGATTTTGGCGGGGAATTAAGTAGGAGGGTGGGTGTGGGATGTGGGATGTGGAGTGGGTGGATGAACTTAGGGGGAAGATGAATGGGAAGGATGTCGACCGCGAAGAGAGGTTGCTATTGTTGTGGATGGGTCATGTCGTTATGTATTCATATGCATGGTTTGCGTTTCGTTGCCTTCTTTTCTTTTCCTTTCCTTTTTTCCCCTCACTGCTGTTGGTTCCGGTTTGGTTGGGAATGGCATGGGCATCGTTACTTAGGTATGTGCGTTGCTGGGGGCTTGGGGTTTGGTGTACTGATGTTATGTATCTGATACCCGAAGATAATTTGAGGACGGTTGGGAGGGGGCATCTCTGGCGTTTTCCCCACGCTGGGTGGGCTACATACATACCTAACTAGATTTGTACACTGGCTCGCTAGTCAAGTCTCTTTTGTTTGTGGGAGTGTGTGGATGGCAGGCAGGTCTTGTGGGTTTTCGAGTTTTGAAGGGCATTTCTTTTCTCTATAGATCCTATTTGCTGTCTCTCCTCACTCGCCTCGCGGCATTGGTCAAGGAAGTACCTTAGTTAGGTATGAATGAAGGCTCTCCGAATGTACTTAAAGTCAATGCCATGCATGACCCCTGGCTCTTTGTTTATTGCTGGGGCCGTCAATGACGCAGTTTGAGCAGCCATCAAGGTATGACTATCAAGGTATGGCCACCACGCCTCTATTACGAAACAACCTAAATACCGACGCGTATGGATCGTGCTGTGCCTTTGCCGTTACGGTTCCTGACGTGTGTTTCAAGGCTCAGTTGATTGTGAAACGTGGTTGTTGAGTTTGGCGAATTGGGGTAATGAAATAATAATTCATCAATCGGGGTTTATAGTAAAAGCACAAATCGAGGGGCGAGGATCCATATTTGATACATTAACTATTGCGGCGAACAACGACACAAATTTGAAAGTGGTAAACAAAAAGTTGCAATCGTTTACTAAGTAAATATGTTAGAAGCAAAGATCTGTAAGAACTTGAAAGAGCTCCTTCTGATGTTGGTTGCTACGCCATGGCATCTGGAGTCAGTTATTAAATATCCTTGTATCGGGATACTAACCCCTGTTGAAATGATCGATCACACCCGCACCCCACCAATCGGGTGGCCGACCCGTCCGCTGACTGTGAGGCGCAAGCCGTGCCTGGCGAGACAAGCACGAGATTTCGTGGACCTTTTTGGCACATCAGACCAAGTCTGATCGCAACCAACACCTTCTTCTTCCACCATCGCGCCTATAAATCAAGTGCGGCAGTCCAGCCTGCACCTGCGATCGTGAATGCGCCCAGCGCTCTTTTCTTGCAGGAGATTGCGCATAACCACAAGCAGCTCCATCGCCGCAAACTTCACTAAAAATAGTGCCGTTCTTGGTACTTTCCGCTTCGCAGCACGATCCCCTGTGCCGCCGCTGTGCAACCGCACTAGCATCAGCTTTTCTAGCCCGTCCTCCCTCGCCGCCCGTTTCTACGCTACCTCATCCACGCGCACCATCGAGGCTGCCTCATTAACTGCTTCCCCTCCATCTCCCGCGTCCGCCGTCCCCATCAGCGACTCGCCCGACCCGACCGGAACCATGAACGGCACCACCAGTCCCATCGCCGCCCGCTCCAAGCGCAAGGAGCCGCCCCATACCGTCGATGGCCGCCACCCCAAGCACCACCGTACCAACGGCGAGGTGGCCCCGGCTGCCGACAACACCCCCGACAACCAAGACGAGTTTGAGGGCGAATTCGGGGTCGAGCTCGAAGAGTACGAGGATGCGAGGTTGCCGGCCGTCCTCCCCACCGGCCCGGACACGGCTGAGTGGCAGGCTACAATCCAAAGAGTTGTGAGAAACGTCGTGTCCATTCGGTTCTGCCAGACTTGCTCGTTCGACACAGACCCAGCCTTGACAAGCGAGGCGACGGGTTTCGTCGTGGATGCTGAAAGAGGGTAGGTCGCGTGCCCTCACGGTGCCGCCGTGCTGCATTGTGTAGATGCAAGCTAATGGCAATACAGATACATCTTGACAAATCGCCACGTCGTTGGCTCGGGCCCCTTTTGGGGTTACTGCATCTTCGATAACCACGAAGAGGTCGACGCATACCCCGTCTATCGCGATCCCGTCCACGACTTTGGCATCCTCAAGTTCGACCCCAAGGCGATCAAGTACATGCCCGTGGATGCGCTTCCGCTGCGACCAGACCTCGCCAAGGTCGGCATTGAGATCCGAGTCGTCGGCAACGACGCCGGCGAAAAGCTCAGCATTCTATCCGGTGTTATTAGTAGATTGGATCGCAACGCGCCCGAATACGGCGAGGGGTACAGCGACTTCAACACGTGCTACTACCAGGCCAGCGCAGCAGCCAGCGGTGGTAGCTCCGGCTCTCCGGTTGTTAACATGGACGGGTATGCTGTTGCGCTGCAGGCTGGCGGGAGAGCGGATGGTGCCGCGACCGACTACTTCCTACCGCTTGACCGGCCGCTGCGGGCGCTGAAGTGCTTGCAGGAAGGGAACCCGATTACCCGTGGTGACATCCAATGCCAGTTTGTGCTGAAGCCCTTCGATGAGTGCCGGAGGCTAGGCTTGACCCCGGAGTGGGAGGCCCAGATCCGCAAGGCTTTCCCTAAGGAGACCAACATGCTGGTTGCCGAGATCGTCCTTCCCGAAGGCCCGTCGCACAAGAAGGCCGAGGAGGGTGATGTCCTGATCAAGGTGAACGGTGAGCTGCTCACCCAGTTCATCCGCTTGGACGACATTCTGGACTCGAGCGTCGGCAAGCCCGTCAAGCTCCTGCTGCTCCGGGGTGGCGAGGAGATCGAGGTAGAGATCGAGGTTGGTGACCTGCACAGCATCACCCCCGACCGCTTCGTCTCGGTGGCCGGTGGGAGCTTCCACAGCCTCTCTTACCAACAGGCGCGTCTGTACGGCGTCGCCTGCAAGGGTGTTTTTGTATGCGAGGCTGGCGGGTCGTTCCGATTCGATAATGCCGAGAATGGATGGCTCATCCAGACGGTCGACCACAAGAAGACGCCAGACCTTGAGACGTTTATCGAGGTGATGAAGGGCATCCATGACAAGGCCCGTGTGGTGGTCACGTACAAGCACCTGCGCGACCTACACACTCTTAACACGACCATCCTGCACATCGACAGGCATTGGTCCAAGAAGATGAAGCTGGCTGTCAGGAACGACGAGACGGGGTTGTGGGACTTCACCAATCTTGCGGACCCCCTCCCGCCGGTTGCGCCGATACCCAGGAAGGCGGACTTCATCCAACTCGAGCATACTTCGCACCCCGCCGTGGCCGACCTGGTCCGGAGTTTCGTGCATGTTAGCTGCGTCATGCCGGTCAAGCTAGACGGTTTCCCTAAGAATCGAAAGTGGGGCATGGGCCTGGTCATTGACGCAGACAAGGGCCTCGTGGTGATATCGAGAGCCATTGTCCCGTACGATCTCTGCGACATCACGGTTACGATTGCCGATTCCATCGTGGTTGAGGGCAAGGTCGTGTTCCTCCACCCCTTGCAAAACTATGCCATCATCCAGTACGACCCGAAGCTGGTCGACGCCCCCGTTCTCAGCGCCAGGCTCAGCTCACAGGAGATCACGCAAGGCGCTTCGACCTACTTCATCGGTTACAACCGGATAGGCCGCATTGTGCACGCGGCGACCACGGTCACCGAGATTTTCGCCGTGACCATACCGGCGAACTCGGGGGCGCCCAGGTACCGCGCCGTCAACGTGGACGCCATCACGGTCGACACCAGCCTCAGTGGGCAGTGCGGTAGCGGTGTGCTGGTGGCCCAGGACGGCACCGTCCAGGCGCTCTGGCTAACGTACCTCGGCGAACGCAACCCGTCGACGCATCGCGATGAAGAGTATCACCTCGGTCTCGCCACGCCGACGTTGCTGCCGGTGGTGGAGCAGATCCAGCGGGGAGTCGACCCCAAGCTCCGGATGCTCTCGGTCGAGTTCCGGGCGATCCAGATGTCGCAGGCGCGGCTGATGGGGGTGTCGGAGGAGTGGATCCAGAAGGTCTCGGTCGCCAACACGGCGCACCACCAGCTCTTTATGGTGACCAAGCGCACGTTCGAGCGCAACGAGCAGGAAGAGGCGGCGGCGCTCCTCGAGGGCGACGTCGTGCTGTCCCTCAACGGCAAGATCATCACCAAGATCTCGGACCTGGACATCATGTACTCGAACGAGCAGCTCGACGCCGTCCTCGTGCGCAACTGCGAGGAGCTGAGCCTCAAGCTGGACACGGTGGCGGCCGACGACGTCGAGACGACGCGGGCCGTCTCGTTCTGCGGCGCCATCTTCCACGCGCCCCACCACGCCGTGCGCCAGCAGATCAGCAAGTTGTTCAGCGAGGTCTATGTCTCGGCCCGCACGCGCGGCTCGCCCTCGTACCAGTACGGTCTGGCGCCGACTAACTTTATCACGCACGTCAACGGGAAGCCCACGCCGGATCTGGAGGCCTTCCTGGCCGAGGTTGTCAAGATCCCGGATAATACCTGTAAGTTTTGTCTCCGCCCTTTCGTCGATTGGGTTAGTGGTTAGTTTGGTAGTTGCTGACAAGCATGGTTACAATAGACTTCCGGCTCAGGGCCATGTCGTTCGACAGCGTCCCGTGGGTGGTCACGATGAAGAAGAACGACCACTACTTCCCGACCATGGAGCTCATCAAGGACCCCAAGGAGGAGTGCGGCTGGCGGCGCATCACGTACGAGGGCGGGAAGGTGATCCAGGGCGAGGGACCCGATGGGGTGGTCGGATCGGCTGGTGAGATCACAGATATGGATGTGGACGCGGATGTGTGCGGTTAAGTGTATTACTACTACGGCTCGGAGTGTGTCAGCGCTGGAAAGCTGAACTGAAAGCTGAACTGGCTGGGAACGGGTAATGGCGTCCGAGGACGGTCAGAAAGATTAAATAAATAAATACCTGGTTGGCTGGGTGGTTGGTAATAATACCGTATTACGAAGTAGCGAGAGCGCATTTACCTGGCCTTGTCAATTGTCAATTGAAAACCGCCCATCGCCAATCAGAGGGTTGCAGCGACACCGGCAGTGAAACACACAAACGCCAAGCAGCCAGTCTGGATTCCGCACGTCACTCACACCCACTCTCAAGCCACTCGCCCACTCACCCACTGTCGATGGCTTCTGCGGCCTGGGGCCAGCCGACCTTTCGCTGACCGCCTCTGCCACGAGACACGCGCCTTGGCGGTTGGTCCTTGACATTTCCAGTTTGTTCCTTGTTTTTTTATTCTTTTGAGCATCTTGGAGATCTCCCTCGCCAAAACTTGATTTTTTCTATGTTTATCGACAGACATACAGGCCCCAAGCCCAAGTCCAAAGCAGCCAACAAGCCCCGTTGAGTGCCCCTCGTCTGTTCCCACAGCACCACCCTACCCTGATGCAACCCTGATACCACCCCTGCTACTGCAGTTACCAAGTCCCCGCTGTAATTTTGGGAACCCCTCCGACTCGGCGCCCGCAAGGTTCCAGGGTTCCTCAATCTCGAACCCAACAAGACCACAGTCGACCAGATCGGCACCGCACGAGACGGGAGCCCAAAATACAATCGCCAATTGTTTGGGTAGCAGGTCCACGGGGACATCCAACAAAAGAGACGGAAGCCCACCACACTCAGTGACCCACCCGTGGACCTTGGGGGTATAGTTATTTCAGACGGGATACATTCAGACGGGATACATACCGGGGATATACCTACCTACCATGTCCGTCCCTCCCACGCCGACGACGGACAAGGGCACGAGGGAAGGCTTCATCCCGCTTGTTTCCGTCGTCGACTTTCACCATGCGCGCGGCCCTGAAGTGGAGAGATGGTTCGGCGTCGACGAGGGCCATGATCCGGCCGCCGAATACGACTGGACCCTGTTGCCCTTCATGGCACTGAGTGATGGCGCCCACGCGTAAGTCACCTAGATCTCCTACTGCATTTGCGTACCTAGATGGTATTGGGGACGCTATAACACCACCACCACCTCATCCAACCCGTTCTAACTCAATCCCCCCACCACCCAGCCTAACCGAAGACTTCTCCTACTTCACGCTCCTCCGCCCGGCAACCTCCTCCGCGCCCGCCACCTCGCTCTTCGGCATCTCGTGCACGCGGCAGATGGACGCCTCGCAGCTGCTCAACCGGCCCGCCGAGGTGACGCGGTCGACGGTGCAGAAGGCCGTCGTGGTCATCGCCGACAGCCCCCAGCACTTTGGCATGCTGCGCGAGCGCCTCAGCGTCGTCACCAAGGCCTGGTTCCTGCAGCGCGAGTTTACCGACGTCGAGATCCTGCGCCGCTTCCAGGAGAGCCTTGCCGATGAGAAGGCCCGCGGCCTGTTGCATGATGATGAAGATCGTGATCAGTATCTGGGCCTGAGCCTGCGGGAGCTGGTGCGCGAGTTTAGGTGGCAGACCCTGGTCCTGCTGAAGTGTTGTTTGCTGCAGCCGAAGGTATGAAGCCACTTTTATGGGTGTGTGTGGTGTATGTGGGTGTGAGAGATGTGTGTGGCGGCAGGTTGCTGATCTGTGATGCTGCGCAATAGATGCTCTTCTTCGGCACGCGCTGCGAGCGCCTGTGTCTGACCCAGTTCTCCCTCATCTCCTTGATACCCCGTCTCCTCCACAACCTACAGGACTCAGCCGGGCCGGAGCTAGATAACTACGAGAAGGGCCTGTCGATGCCGACAAGCCTGAGGACAAGCGACCGGAATTCGTTGCTGTCGTACATGGGGCTTCCGTTGCAAATATTTGGCAAGGTATGCGGGATAACCCCTGAACAAACCCCCGAGATTGGGGTGAGAGGCGTCTGAATTGTTTACTCACGCGCGCATAGGGAAGTCTGTTTGGCCCCTACACACCCCTCCAGCAGCTTGATGTCCTCGCCGATTTCGGGACCAAGTCGTACATCGTCGGCAGCACCAACTCGCTCCTCCTACAACAAAAAGACCGCTACAGTGACATCCTGATCAACCTGGACGAGGATACCATCAACATTACCTCACCCTCCCTAAAAACCGCCCTACAGCTCTCCACCCCTGACCGCCGCTGGATCGATTTCATCACGCAAAACGTCAACGACACATGGGACGACGCTAACCCGTCCCGACCCAAGACCATGGGCTATGTCGGCAGCGAGGAGTTCATCCGCGTACAGTTTGAGGAATATCTGCTATCGCTCATCTCGTCGGTGAAGTACCGCGCCCACCTCGCCCGCCACGCCCACAACCCACGCATGCTCCTCCCCGACATCGACGGCGACCCCTCGGCCGACTTTGCTCCGGATTTTGTCGACGCCTGGTCTCGTACCGAGAACTTCCGCCTCTGGAATTCCCACACCGACTCGCACCTGTTTGACGTCGTCGAGCCCAAGCACCCGTGCGCCGGCGGCCTGACCATCGACGACATCCAGCGCCGAATCACCCAACAGGTCCACGACTTGCACTGGGATGAGCGTTTCGCCCAAGGGCGCGAGGTACTCGGCAGGAACCTGGCTGCTGGCAGGGAGAAGGCGAGCACCTTGTTTGGGAAGCTATACTCAGATATGGAAGCACTTAGGGAGGCACAGAGGAGACGAAACGAAGAGACACGACAACAACAACAACAACAAAACCAAAACCAACCATCCCAACCCACCGCCGCTGTGGGTGGGGAAACAACACAAAACGGGGAAAAGAACGGCACCAGCCCCGCCGCCCCCGACCTCACCAAGTCCCAACACACCATTACAAGCCGTCGGCAGCAAAGCCGGCGCCTTCGTCAACAGCTGGGCCGCCTGGGCCGGCGAGAAGCGCCGCGCCGCCTGGGGAGGGGGGGGGAGGAGGACGCGGCGGAAACCGCTCCACCACTGACACCACCACCACTACCTCGGCCTCCACATCCTCTCCTCGAAACAGCACCAGCGGGTGGAGCGTCTCGTGGGGTGGGCGGGGCAACAACAACAACAACAGCTCCAATTCCAATTCCAATTCCAATTCCAACTCCAACAGCAAAAACAACACAAACCGCGGCATCAGCGGCCTCGGCGGCATCGGCGGCATTGGCAGCGGCGGCGGGTATGACGCGCTGCCGCTGGCGGGCGGGCGGACCGACCATGCGGGGGACTCGGATGACGATTCTGAGTCGGAGTCGGGGCTGTTGGATCAGAGGAGGAGGGGGAGCGCGGTGAGGTCTGAGTCTGTCTTGTCGTTGTCGCCTGTTTCTTCGCCGGGGAGGGTTGGTGGTGGTGGTGGGCGGCCGGTTCCGGTGGGGGGTGTTGTTCCGGTTCCTGTTCCGTTGACGGATGTTGTGGGCGGTGGTGGTGATGGTGGCGGGTGGTGTGAAGACGAATGGCTCTGGCGCGGCTGGTGCTAGTGCTGGTGGATGTGCTGCTCCGGCCCCGG